TCATTGCCCTTTTGTCCGATGCAGTCGGGGCTGCTTCCTCTTCGTGAACACTGTGCGTTTGATGCGCGGTGGCCCAGGCACAGATCTCTTGGCACGCCTTCGCTCAAGCTTGGCAGCGTGCTGGCCCCACCTCCGGCGTTGAGATGCCGCCACGGCTTTGGCACGCTGAGTCTTGGCTTGGTCCAGGGCGCGCGCAGGCCGTCTCGCTTCGTCCCGGTTGGTCAGGGGCGGAATTGCCCGGTCGCCAAAACTGGAAAAGAAGCAAGCCGAAAGGTGTCCGCGAAGGAGACTAAGCAATTCTGCCTGGCTCCTCTGGGCAAGGGTCGGCGCATAGGCAGCAGAGTTGTGGGCCATCATCTTCTGCAGCGCAAAGCTGAAGAGCATTGGCGGGATGGCTTCGTGGTGCTGCTGCAATACTGTTCGGCGGGCATTGTTGATCTGGAAATGCAAGGCTTCGTTCCCAGTGGTGCCCCAAGCACTGAGCTGCGTCTCTGCTGCTGAGAACTGGCTGGCGATGTGGTTCCCATTGCGGAGGTACGCGAAGTGCCTGTAGGCTGCCCCCGACATCAGGATCTGTTTGGCAGACCTGCCTTTGCAATCTTTGCGGGACATGTCCGTAGGAAACTTCAGCGTTATGTCCAGGAGGTCGTCCACGTATTCCTGGTGGCTGTTGTATGGCGTGTTGGAGTAGGCTCGCAAGTCCCGCTCGGGCTTCGCAAGGGCCTCCTTCCTGGCGCTCCACCTTCCTTCCTCTCCGCAGGGAGCAGCTTCTCCATGGTAAACTGGCGCGGGCATTGGCCTCGCAAACTTGCGCTGAAGAAGCAAAACTTCGGAGGACATGGCCGTCCTTTTTTCGCCAAAGCAGGCCTCTAAGCGTAGCACCAAGTGCAAAGCATCCTCAGCGACACCCTGCAAGAATGGAAACACATCGGTGGCGCCTTCTACAGAGTCCGGGCAGTCCGAATAAATCCATCTCGTGGAGGCCCGAGCAGCATCGGGCAATATTGCCAGACAGGCGCTTGAAACAAGCCCTGCCTTCGGTGGCTTGCATGCTCATGCCTGGCACCGCGCCGGTCTTGCCCACAATGGTGTGCAGTGCGTGGAGTTCACCCTCTCGCTGCGCCATCTTGTCCTGGCCAATGATAGCAAACAAGGTCTTGAAGGTTGCGTCGTGGCTGATGACCTCCCACTCACCCTTCCGCGTGGCCTGTGCGAGCAGCTCAGCATGCAGCTCTTGAACTGGCTGTTTGCTTAAGATGTCTTCCAGCAATCTCCCCCTTGTGCTTCTGTTGCGAAGGCCCATCAAAGCACAGGGGCAGCCTTGGGAGACGAAGTGCGTCGCAAGCTCCTGATAGATGGTCTGGATCTTCCCCACATGTTTCAGCGCAAGGCTCAGGAGCAGGTTCGCCAAGGTGTGGTCATAGTAGACCTTCTTGTGCAGCCGTGCACAGTTGACCGTGTGAGTCTTGAGAAGGCACTTGGGCCCGGTGGCTGTAAGGACCATGACCATGTCAATGTCATTGTTCGACTCCAAGACGCGCCGAATGATGCTTGCAGAAGCTTGCAGCAGGCTTCCAGAATACATAGGCGGCCGGAGGAAGGACAAGGCCTGATGAGGGGGCAGAAGATTCGGGGGTCGGGGGAGGCAAGGGCCGTGGCAGGTCTCAGTCTAACTAGAGGTCCCAAAGCTCAAGGAAAATGTGTGCCTATGTTTATTATGTCTTGCGCGTTACGTGGGGGGAACATTGCTTTAAATGTGAGCTCCGCCCCCCGCGCCTGGTCTTGCTCGTGCAAAGCCAGCGCCAAGTTCCACTGCGCTTGAGACCGGCTGTTAGCAATGAAGAGCTTTCCCTTCGCATGGTACTTGATCACATGCGCAAGCAATCTGTCCTTGCGAGCAAAGCTTCGGAAAGGACACAGCTTGCAGGCAAACGGTCCGCCCTGCAAGGTCGGAACTTCTTGCCTGAACTGTCGAACTTCCAGGTCCATGCTGGCCGCCACGTGGTCCATGACACGCTGGTCTGCGTCCTCCGCCAGCTCCGCGTCCATGCCTGCTTGCTGTTGGAGAGACGCAGGTTGCCGCGCAAGCCTGCGCCTCTTGGCCTTGTGCTCCAGCAAGTTCATGTCAGCCTTGAACAATTGAAGGCCTTGCGTTTCATCGAGCAAGGTCCACAAAAGTGAATGAGGCACACTGATCGCACGCGGGCGGTTGCTGTTAAAAATGGTGGCAGTGTTGTGCACCAAGAGGATGCCGTAAGCGTGAGCTTCGCCGCCAGCCGCCGGCTCGTGCGCAAGGAACTTGCCGACGCCCAGGGCACGGACTTGATCAATGCTCACGGGTTCCAGAGTGAGGCTCGGGCATACTTCTACGCACTGCTGGTACGTGAAGGGCCCTGAGCAATCTTGGAACAAGCCTGCTGTGATGGAGCCAGGGAACAAGTTGACTAACGCAGAGGGCAAGCACATGTTGCGCCCTGGCACGACTTCAATGCCTCCCTCCTCCAACACCGGCGGACCGCTCTGCAGCATGTCAGCCAGTCTTGCGCCAAGAGACGCCCAAGCACCATGCTGGTGCTCTTGCTGGCGCACTGGCTTCACTTGCATGTAAATCCCGGTATCATCTGCAAACTCTTGCAGCAAGGCATCTTGCACACCAGGCAATGTGCCTTCAGCTGGGCATGCGAGGACAGCGTCGTAAACTGGCGCAACGAGGAGCCAGCCAATCTCAGTGAGCTTGGCGACGAAGTGCTCCATTGCAAGCCGCTCCCTGTCAAACAAAAGGAACGCAAATGCTGATGTCTCCGGACGCGGCCTGCCGCTTGCCTGCATGGCCTGTAGCACGTCTGTGTTCACCTCACACACTGCTTGGCGCACGAGAGCTGACTCGTACGCCAAACCAAGGCATGGTGCCGAGGTCAGCTTGCTCAGACGGTGGAAACGCAAAGCCAAAGCAGGCTTTCAGTAGCAAGGTCTTGGCTGACTGGTCGTCTACGCCGTAGTACCGCGCCACAGCTGCTCGCCACGCTTGCTTGTGCACCTTGTACCGGGTCATGCATGGAACAAGCTTCCCAACTTCGTTGGCAATCTCGACTATGAAGTGGACAATGGCGTTGGGCTGGTCGAACTCCACCGTGCCATCTGGGCTGCAAGCAGCGCGAGCTTCGCGGGTCAGGCTTGGCAGGCTCGCGTGGGGGAAGAAGAAGCGTCCCAGAGGCTTGCCAGCCACCACTTTCTGCCGCCCCTTCTGCGCAAATGTGGCGTGATCTCCTGGGAGGCAGGATTGAGGAAAACCGTAGAAACAGAGGCTTCATGCCGTGATTACAGGGTTTGAACACGTTTGCCGAAAACAAATTAAAGGCATGCTGCGGCTCCTTCGATCGCACCAGCTCGCTCCACTGCTTCCAGGAAATTCAAGAGCTGGTCCTGTCGCCGATCGTCCCCTCTGCGCGCATACTCGCGCAGCCTTGCGAGGTGCAAAAAGCAGCGGCACTCCCACGCAGGTCCATTCTCAAAGCGCTCAGGCTCCTGCCCGTCGCACAACTCATCCCACGAGGGCTCCGCAGGCTGAGTCTCAGGCCATTTCCAGTCCGACCAACTTCCGAAGACATCTTCCGGGGACTCGCAGCTGCGGCGAAGAGCGTCGTCCACCCGATCCACCACCAAAGGCCGCCGCTGAAATCTGAGGATGGCTTCACCTCCTCGGCCGCAGCAGGTGTGGAAACTCTTTGATGGCGTCCACCAAGTAGTCTGTCCTGCTTTTCTTGCCACCCTTGCTCTTGAGCGAAGCTGTCCCGGGATTGCTCGGCACTGCCGTGCGGTTGATGAGGTGGGGCGTGAAAAACTCAACGGAAATAGCTGCGTGTGTCTCGAGGACAAGTCGCTGCGCTTGTCCTACAGCCCCGGCCTGCCCAAAGGACTCCGCAGGTGCCCCGCCAATTGGTTGCGGGGCATTGTCGCGCAACTCATCTGGGGAAGCAGCTGTCGTGGCTCGAGCCATGCGTTGGAGCAGCCACTTGGTGTCCTTGGCAGCTTGGCTTCCTTCAGGGCAGAACTCCAGCATTTGACCCCACTCGCTGGGCGGATGCTTTTGCATGAAAGGAAACAGCCAGTCGTGGTAGAAGGACCAGACCGCATGGTTCGAAGCGCAGAACTGCTTGGCTTCTGGGTCTGCCAAAAAGACTTTCCGCTGCACATCTATTTCCTCTGGCTGGTTGCTGAAGGAGCTGCGCATAAAGCAACAACGGATCCGCCGAGCATGGCTGCGCTCCTCTGCGGTAGGCACCGCGGGCACGTCCCCGACGTTCATACACCAGTTCTTGCCGCAGAATTCCCAGGATGCATACTTGGTGTCGGCCTCGTGATTCTTCCGCAGCGGCATTTTCCCTCCGCCCACGAAGACCTTCAGCACATCTTCAGCTAGCCCGTGGTCACGGCGGCATTCATCGAAGGTGAGCATGACGCAGTGCAAGAAGTGAAGCCCTTGCTGCTGAAATTCTCGATCCACTTGGAGCGTGCTGGACGGATGACCAAAGCCAGAGCCCCAGCACGCTTTCATCAAGTCCTCTGGAAGCCGTTTGAGCAAGAACAAGAACAGCATGCTCAGGCAAACGTGCTCCAAAATCATGGCAGCGACCAAAAAACAAAACCTTGCTGCGCGTGCAGATGAGGGGCTACCAAGATCATGGACTTCCCGTCATGCCCAACTCCTACGTAAACATGGATTACGTCTGGCTGGCGCAGACGGGCTGCCACCAAGGCTGACTGGGCCAGCAGCATGCGAAGCCCATCCCCGCCCGCAAAGGATGACAGGAGCAGGCTCGCCAAACGCTGCCGCGCATGGTCTGGCGCTTGCCACGTCAGAGCAGCAGGAACATACACGTAGCATCCCTGTCTTGGGTCCTTCCGCAGCTGCTTGACTTCCCCATTGCAGACAGCAAGGAAGCAGTCCCTGAATGCAACCCCTGCACGCTGTTTCCCTCCCATGTCAGAGTCTGCCCAGCGGCTGAAGTTCTTGACCACGGCCTTGTTATGCTCTGAGAAGATCTTTCGCATCTCTCGGCAAAGGTCGCTGGACCCCACGTACCACTGCCTGGACTTTTCTGCGGCCCTTTTGCCGACAATGTCATTGAGCTGCCACTCTAAGAGGGCATCCTCGGGCAGCGCTTGCAAGACACGCACTTCGAAGCAAACGTCGGAGAAATCTCTCGAAGGCTTGTAACGGCTGAGCAAGCCAAAGTAGGCTTGCGCCCGCCGCAGCGCGTAGAGGATATATTCCAAGTCCATTGCAGAAATGCTGCCGGCAGCGGGGCTCCATGCTCCCTGACTATACTGGAAAAGCACCCCACCGTGGGACCGGTACCGCTCACCAAGCAGCAGAGCGAAGACCTTGGTTAGCAGGAGCTCGCTCTTGGCGTCATCGGAGAAGCATCCAGCAACAGCATTGTGGCCTGAGCGGCTGCTCGCTTCACGTATGCCTGCTTTGGGAGACACTTCCCACTCCAGCCAAAAGCATCATCCACACGTTGGCGCAAGTCCTCTATGAATGCGTCCATGGACTTGGGCGTGTCTTCTTCGTCCTCCTCGAGCACGCAGCTTGGCACGCCAAGGTTCAAGCCAAATCCCAGGTTTGGAGTCCAGGCAGCAATAACAGCCTGGTAGCTCGCTAAGCACTGGCTCTGGCTGCGAGCAGTGTTGCGCTGGCTGCCATCATGCTGGGAAGGGGGAGCCATGTGCAAGTCTGGCAATGACTCCACCAGCACGCTCGGGTGCTCCACTGCTCGAGCACGAAGCTCGTCATATGCCTGCAGCCACCGACCTAGATTCTCATCATCTTCCATGGCTCACTCGTGGCCTACCAAACAGAAATGCTTCTGGTTGCATGCGCAGATAGCATCGCAATTTCTGTTTAGCTTTGACCTAAGCTTTGACACTGTAATGATTTGAAGTGGGCGCGCCCCGGCTGTTGCTTGCGGTGGGCCAATAGTAAGGCAAAGGCGCGAAACTGCAGTCCTGCATAAGGCGCCCCAAACAAGCAAGAGCAGCGCAGCGCTTATTCCAATGTCCAGTGCTTTGTTTCTCTTCGTGCCACTTTTTTGCTTCACTTTTTTTTGGGCACGCCCGCGTGACAAGCTGGAGTCGGCCGTCTCAGAAACACAAAGACGACCGGGCGCATTTTTTTGCGTTCGCACAGCCCTCTTTCTTCACGTGAAGCCTTGCCGTGGTTTGTGTGCTTGCTCTCGGATCGTCTGAAAGCTCTGCCAGGCAGTTAAAATGCATCCCAACTTCTTCTTGCTTCCAAGGAACGTTTTGTGCGCACATCGAAAGACCAGCCGCAACACAGTAATTCCATAGTTTTTTCAAACTAAGAAGGCATACGAGGGGTCTACGAAGTTGTGAGGGAGGCGTGGGCATGAGATCATGATGCTACAGGTGCTATTGAGCGAGATGCGCGCATGCACCTTGCAGTGTCTCAGCGCCCACAGCCAGTCGCAGCCAGGGTTTCTGTTTGGTAGGCCACGGGTGAGCCATGCAAGATGATGAGAATCTAGGTCGATGGCTGCAGGCATATGACGAGCTTCGTGCTCGAGCAGTGGAGCACCCGAGCCTGCTGGTGGAGTCATTGCCAGACTTGCACATGGCTCCCCCTTCCCAGCATGATGGCAGCCAGCGCAACACTGCTCGCAGCCAGAGCCAGTGCTTAGCGAGCTACCAGGCTGTTATTGCTGCCTGGACTCCAAACCTGGGATTTGGCTTGAACCTTGGCGTGCCAGGCTGCGTGCTCGAGGAGGACGAAGAAGACACGCCCAAGTCCATGGACGCATTCATAGAGGACTTGCGCCAACGTGTGGATGATGCTTTTGGCTGGAGTGGGAAGTGTCTCCCAAAGCAGGCATACGTGAAGCGAGCAGCCGCTCAGGCCACAATGCTTTTGCTGGATGCTTCCTCCGACGACGCCAAGAACGAGCTCCTGCTAACCAAGGTCTTCGCTCTGCTGCTTGGTGAGCGGTACCGGTCCCACGGTGGGGTGCTTTTCCAGTATAGTCAGGGAGCATGGAGCCCCGCTGCCGGCAGCATTTCTGCAATGGACTTGGAATATATCCTCTACGCGCTGCGGCGGGCGCAAGCCTACTTTGGCTTGCGCAGCCGTTACAAGCCTTCGAGAGACTTCTCCGACGTTTGCTTCGAAGTGCGTGTCTTGCAAGCGCTGCCCGAGGATGCCCTCTTAGAGTGGCAGCTCAATGACATTGTCGGCAAAAGGGCCGCAGAAAAGTCCAGGCAGCGGTACGTGGGGTCCAGCGACCTTTGCCGAGAGATGCGAAAGATCTTCTCAGAGCATAACAAGGCCGTGGTCAAGAACTTCAGCCGCTGGGCAGACTCTGACATGGGAGGGAAACAGCGTGCAGGGGTTGCATTCAGGGACTGCTTCCTTGCTGTCTGCAATGGGGTAGTCAAGCAGCTGCGGAAGGACCCAAGACAGGGATGCTACGTGTATGTTCCTGCTGCTCTGACGTGGCAAGCGCCAGACCATGCGCGGCAGCGTTTGGCGAGCCTGCTCCTGTCATCCTTTGCGGGCGGGGATGGGCTTCGCATGCTTGGTGGCAGCCCGTCTGCGCCAGCCAGACGTAATCCATGTTTACGTAGGAGTTGGGCATGACGGGAAGTCCATGATCTTGGTAGCCCCTCATCTGCACGCGCAGCAAGGTTTTGTTTTTTGGTCGCTGCCATGATTTTGGAGCACGTTTGCCTGAGCATGCTGTTCTTGTTCTTGCTCAAACGGCTTCCAGAGGACTTGATGAAAGCGTGCTGGGGCTCTGGCTTTGGTCATCCGTCCAGCACGCTCCAAGTGGATCGAGAATTTCAGCAGCAAGGGCTTCACTTCTTGCACTGCGTCATGCTCACCTTCGATGAATGCCGCCGTGACCACGGGCTAGCTGAAGATGTGCTGAAGGTCTTCGTGGGCGGAGGGAAAATGCCGCTGCGGAAGAATCACGAGGCCGACACCAAGTATGCATCCTGGGAATTCTGCGGCAAGAACTGGTGTATGAACGTCGGGGACGTGCCCGCGGTGCCTACCGCAGAGGAGCGCAGCCATGCTCGGCGGATCCGTTGTTGCTTTATGCGCAGCTCCTTCAGCAACCAGCCAGAGGAAATAGATGTGCAGCGGAAAGTCTTTTTGGCAGACCCAGAAGCCAAGCAGTTCTGCGCTTCGAACCATGCGGTCTGGTCCTTCTACCACGACTGGCTGTTTCCTTTCATGCAAAAGCATCCGCCCAGCGAGTGGGGTCAAATGCTGGAGTTCTGCCCTGAAGGAAGCCAAGCTGCCAAGGACACCAAGTGGCTGCTCCAACGCATGGCTCGAGCCACGACAGCTGCTTCCCCAGATGAGTTGCGCGACAATGCCCCGCAACCAATTGGCGGGGCACCTGCGGAGTCCTTTGGGCAGGCCGGGGCTGTAGGACAAGCGCAGCGACTTGTCCTCGAGACACACGCAGCTATTTCCGTTGAGTTTTTCACGCCCCACCTCATCAACCGCACGGCAGTGCCGAGCAATCCCGGGACAGCTTCGCTCAAGAGCAAGGGTGGCAAGAAAAGCAGGACAGACTACTTGGTGGACGCCATCAAAGAGTTTCCACACCTGCTGCGGCAAGTTGAGAGTTCGCGCCGAGGAGGTGAAGCCATCCTCAGATTTCAGCGGCGGCCTTTGGTGGTGGATCGGGTGGACGACGCTCTTCGCCGCAGCTGCGAGTCCCCGGAAGATGTCTTCGGAAGTTGGTCGGACTGGAAATGGCCTGAGACTCAGCCTGCGGAGCCCTCGTGGGATGAGTTGTGCGACGGGCAGGAGCCTGAGCGCTTTGAGAATGGATCTGCGTGGGAGTGCCGCTGCTTTTTGCACCTCGCAAGGCTGCGCGAGTATGCGCGCAGAGGGGACGATCGGCGACAGGACCAGCTCTTGAATTTCCTGGAAGCAGTGGAGCGAGCTGGTGCGATCGAAGGAGCCGCAGCATGCCTTTAATTTGTTTTCGGCAAACGTGTTCAAACCCTGTAATCACGGCATGAAGCCTCTGTTTCTACGGTTTTCCTCAATCCTGCCTCCCAGGAGATCACGCCACATTTGCGCAGAAGGGGCGGCAGAAAGTGGTGGCTGGCAAGCCTCTGGGACGCTTCTTCTTCCCCCACGCGAGCCTGCCAAGCCTGACCCGCGAAGCTCGCGCTGCTTGCAGCCCAGATGGCACGGTGGAGTTCGACCAGCCCAACGCCATTGTCCACTTCATAGTCGAGATTGCCAACGAAGTTGGGAAGCTTGTTCCATGCATGACCCGGTACAAGGTGCACAAGCAAGCGTGGCGAGCAGCTGTGGCGCGGTACTACGGCGTAGACGACCAGTCAGCCAAGACCTTGCTACTGAAAGCCTGCTTTGGCTTTGCGTTTCCACCGTCTGAGCAAGCTGACCTCGGCACCATGCCTTTGCTGCATGGTTTGGCGTACGAGTCAGCTCTCGTGCGCCAAGCAGTGTGTGAGGTGAACACAGACGTGCTACAGGCCATGCAGGCAAGCGGCAGGCCGCGTCCGGAGACATCAGCATTTGCGTTCCTTTTGTTTGACAGGGAGCGGCTTGCAATGGAGCACTTCGTCGCCAAGCTCACTGAGATTGGCTGGCTCCTCGTTGCGCCAGTTTACGACGCTGTCCTCGCATGCCCAGCTGAAGGCACATTGCCTGGTGTGCAAGATGCCTTGCTGCAAGAGTTTGCAGATGATACCGGGATTTACATGCAAGTGAAGCCAGTGCGCCAGCAAGAGCACCAGCATGGTGCTTGGGCGTCTCTTGGCGCAAGACTGGCTGACATGCTGCAGAGCGGTCCGCCGGTGTTGGAGGAGGGAGGAATTGAAGTCGTGCCAGGGCGCAACATGTGCTTGCCCTCTGCGTTAGTCAACTTGTTCCCTGGCTCCATCACAGCAGGCTTGTTCCAAGATTGCTCAGGGCCCCTCACGTACCAGCAGTGCGTAGAAGTATGCCCGAGCCTCACTCTGGAACCCGTGAGCATTGATCAAGTCCGTGCCCTGGGCGTCGGCAAGTTCCTTGCGCACGAGCCGGCGGCTGGCGGCGAAGCTCACGCTTACGGCATCCTCTTGGTGCACAACACTGCCACCATTTTTAACAGCAACCGCCCGCGTGCGATCAGTGTGCCTCATTCACTTTTGTGGACCTTGCTCGATGAAACGCAAGGCCTTCAATTGTTCAAGGCTGACATGAACTTGCTGGAGCACAAGGCCAAGAGGCGCAGGCTTGCGCGGCAACCTGCGTCTCTCCAACAGCAAGCAGGCATGGACGCGGAGCTGGCGGAGGACGCAGACCAGCGTGTCATGGACCACGTGGCGGCCAGCATGGACCTGGAAGTTCGACAGTTCAGGCAAGAAGTTCCGACCTTGCAGGGCGGACCGTTTGCCTGCAAGCTGTGTCCTTTCCGAAGCTTTGCTCGCAAGGACAGATTGCTTGCGCATGTGATCAAGTACCATGCGAAGGGAAAGCTCTTCATTGCCAACAGCCGGTCTCAAGCGCAGTGGAACTTGGCGCTGGCTTTGCACGAGCAAGACCAGGCGCGGGGGGCGGAGCTCACATTTAAAGCAATGTTCCCCCCACGTAACGCGCAAGACATAAAAAACACAGGCACACATTTTCCTTGAGCTTTGGGACCTCTAGTTACCTCTAGTTAGACTGAGACCTGCCACGGCCCTTGCCTCCCCCGACCCCCGAATCTTCTGCCCCCTCATCAGGCCTTGTCCTTCCTCCGGCCGCCTATGTATTCTGGAAGCCTGCTGCAAGCTTCTGCAAGCATCATTCGAGACTGGCTCAACCCAGACCCTGCCACGCGGCGCGTCTTGGAGTCGAACAATGACATTGACATGGTCATGGTCCTTACAGCCACCGGGCCCAAGTGCCTTCTCAAGACTCACACGGTCAACTGTGCACGGCTGCACAAGAAGGTCTACTATGACCACACCTTGGCGAACCTGCTCCTGAGCCTTGCGCTGAAACATGTGGGGAAGATCCAGACCATCTATCAGGAGCTTGCGACGCACTTCGTCTCCCAAGGCTGCCCCTGTGCTTTGATGGGCCTTCGCAACAGAAGCACAAGGGGGAGATTGCTGGAAGACATCTTAAGCAAACAGCCAGTTCAAGAGCTGCATGCTGAGCTGCTCGCACAGGCCACGCGGAAGGGTGAGTGGGAGGTCATCAGCCACGACGCAACCTTCAAGACCTTGTTTGCTATCATTGGCCAGGACAAGATGGCGCAGCGAGAGGGTGAACTCCACGCACTGCACACCATTGTGGGCAAGACCGGCGCGGTGCCAGGCATGAGCATGCAAGCCACCGAAGGCAGGGCTTGTTTCAAGCGCGCCTGTCTGGCAATATTGCCCGATGCTGCTCGGGCCTCCACGAAATGGATTTATTCGGACTGCCCGGACTCTGTAGAAGGCGCCACCGATGTGTTTCCATTCTTGCAGGGTGTCGCTGAGGATGCTTTGCACTTGGTGCTACGCTTAGAGGCCTGCTTTGGCGAAAAAAGGACGGCCATGTCCTCCGAAGTTTTGCTTCTTCAGCGCAAGTTTGCGAGGCCAATGCCCGCGCCAGTTTACCATGGAGAAGCTGCTCCCTGCGGAGAGGAAGGAAGGTGGAGCGCCAGGAAGGAGGCCCTTGCGAAGCCCGAGCGGGACTTGCGAGCCTACTCCAACACACCATACAACAGCCACCAGGAATACGTGGACGACCTCCTGGACATAACGCTGAAGTTTCCTGCGGACATGTCCCGCAAAGATTGCAAAGGCAGGTCTGCCAAACAGATCCTGATGTCGGGGGCAGCCTACAGGCACTTCGCGTACCTCCGCAATGGGAACCACATCGCCAGCCAGTTCTCAGCAGCAGAGACGCAGCTCAGTGCTTGGGGCACCACTGGGAACGAAGCCTTGCATTTCCAGATCAACAATGCCCGCCGAACAGTATTGCAGCAGCACCACGAAGCCATCCCGCCAATGCTCTTCAGCTTTGCGCTGCAGAAGATGATGGCCCACAACTCTGCTGCCTATGCGCCGACCCTTGCCCAGAGGAGCCAGGCAGAATTGCTTAGTCTCCTTCGCGGACACCTTTCGGCTTGCTTCTTTTCCAGTTTTGGCGACCGGGCAATTCCGCCCCTGACCAACCGGGACAAAGCGAGACGGCCTGCGCGCGCCCTGGACCAAGCCAAGACTCAGCGTGCCAAAGCCGTGGCGGCATCTCAACGCCGGAGGTGGGGCCAGCACGCTGCCAAGCTTGAGCGAAGGCGTGCCAAGAGATCTGTGCCTGGGCCACCGCGCATCAAACGCACAGTGTTCACGAAGAGGAAGCAGCCCCGACTGCATCGGACAAAAGGGCAATGATTCGGCGGCAGCTCTTTTCAATATCTGCAGCTGCCTGCTTCGTTGGCTGCAAGTGCCACGTGTCATCGCCGCAACGGCCGGCTTTA